TCGCAAGAAGAATTCGTAAAAGTTTTTAAGAGTATCCGTACGAATTCGATACAGTTCGCATCAATTCGGTACGAATTCGCAAAATAAGGGTAAAACGTGAATTGTTGCATCATTTTTACGCTTAAAAGTTGCGATTCGTCAATTCGTCTTTAGACACTTTGTCAACACATCTCCCACGAACATGATCAACCGTGGTCTTCAAATTATTCAAAAGTAAGCTTTGGTTAGATGCTATTCTCTATCGAACTATCTAATTTACTTTCTCGCACTGCTTCCTAAACGACGTTTTTTTCATTTTTCACTCACTTTCAAGCATCACATTTGGCAACTTGATTTGTCTGTAACTTTAAAACAAGCTACCAAAGCTGAGTGAAACGCAGTTCCGACGTAAAAATTTCACAGTCTAGATTCTGGCTGTAGGTTTTCCTAGAAAACTTCTCATTACAGTACGAAAATGATGCGTACCTTTTTTCGGACCTTCACTTTGTTTCTATATTATTTCAGTCAGATCAGTCCAAAATCAGTGTTATTATATGCCATTCGACTCGGCTTGTCAAGATGCATCCGACGATGTATAACACATGAGATTCAAACACAATTTGGGTACCTCTTCTTTTTGGCGATTTTGGCGTGGTTTTCAGTTAAAAACCTGTTTCTCCTTGTATATTCGTCGAACAGTTGGGAAATTTTGACCATGAATACTTGGAAGGGCGTAGAACAAAACCTATGCCTCAGATTTATTCCATACTCACTTTCAAGTTTTTTCATCAATTGTACAAATTAGTTACGATTCACTCATATGCGTTCTACAGACGGTTTTTGAAGTGTCATCCAAATTACTGATTACAGTCAGTATCTGTAAACTTATCAGAGGATAGAGCAATGACTTCTTGATACGAAATCTTACAGTGCTTCACATCAAAGTCTCATACTTTTCTTTCTCTCTTAATACAGAGGAATAAAGCAAAGATACCTTTTCCTATTGTTTATGGTGTATCTGAAAAGAAATAGTCAAACAGAAAATAAACAAAGCACGGTAGACTACCGAATCTGAGTCTTAATTTATTTCAAAGAATACAAACATCGTTAAAATCATCCGGTTTTAGTGTTTATTTTGATACCACCATTAACTAAGAAATTTGGTTAAAGTTGTTTTCCTACAGTCAGAGAGCTCAAACTCAATTCGTGCGTTGAAATTCATTCGTTTGTTACAATTTTAACATTAAAATTTTTATAATCTACATTTTTTAATTTGCCGTTGGGAATCACAGTAATAAGATGCCATTCTGCCATATCGCACGTACATACTTGTGGACTGGTATGAGATATTTTTATATTAACTTTTCCGTTAACTACATTAACATCTTGTATTCGATATCGATGTGAACCGGAAGTCGCATGAGTGCTGCAGACGAGTAGGGTATTTTTTTCAAAAAAAACATTTGTTATACCACCTAAACATTGTTTGACCTCATCCATTTTATGATATTCGTTTTCAAAAACTTTATAATAATTCTCCAATTCATTTTCTGATTGAATAACTGTTGATAATGGAAATTTGATGTTATTATGATAACCGTGAGTCTGAATATTATAAGTTTTTACGTCGGAAAAACTTAAACTTGATTCTACCGTACCGCTGCCACTGATACTTTCTTCTTCCGATTTTTCGCAGATGTTTACCATTTTAGCCATTTGTCTGCCTAAGTGATCATACAAATAAAGTTAAATTGAAATCCACACAAAGTACTTCCTTGTGATCCATTTTATGTAAGATACAACCAATTCTCAGTTGGCCTGTTCAGAGCAAATCTCAAAATTTCGGTTTTCATAGTTTTTTCTGTAGTAGATGTGCTTTTCAAATGGCGTTTTCCATTTTTAAAAATATTGCTCCTATCAAACGTTATCGGCATTACAAGATGAGTAGTAAAACGTTCAAAACAAAGCCAAAAATTCGACTTTTTAGAATAACTTTTGATACAAAAAGTATGCTTTGAGCTGAGATTTAAGTCATTGGAAAGAGCATCAGGCATTCTATATGAGTGAAAAAAATTATAAATATGTTTTACATATATAGAATATGTAGAAAAAGTTTTAGAAGAGAAAGGAAAGGGCATTAAAAGTGGCATTTTCAAAGCAAAATCTGCTTCCAAGTCCGGTGACTTTATTGGCGAAATACTGCGGCTTTTCTAGACCGGTGGGCGGATTGTTTGGTCGGGTGTAAAAAAATTGGTATTGTAGCAAGACTACTCCTCAGTTTGTTGTTTCCTCACCAGTTAATTCTAACGATTATAATAAATTCTACTCGTAAAATGACATTTCTTCTCTTTTGAGTAACGTTATCCATATATAGTATTGTTTCATTTGGATGAAAGGAGAATGAATAACGAAACTTTCACTTTCATTCATTTCATATATGTGCTTTCTTTCCTGTCTGTCTATGCGTTAATCGTTTTAAAACAATCGTGAACGTGTGAAAGGCGCATGTAAGGAAGAAGTAACAAATGGTGTGAAGACTGAAGACTAAGTGCATCCGCTATAGTGCCACTAAAACACATAGGATGTTAAAAATTCGAAGTGAAATTCGTTGGATGAAAATTTTAGATTTAAATAAGCTTGCAATAACATTTCATTTCCTCATATTTCTTTGTTATGCTCAAGCGAATTTTTAACGTCCTATATGTTTTAGTGATACTAGAAGGACAGACAGGAGAAATGTCTCGATAAGAAGAAATGTAGCTGACAGATTTGCGAATTATCTAGGCTATCAGCCTTTTCTAAAAATAGTACATTTGCAGGCGTAATGGAGATAGTAGGAGCTAGAGATGACCAGTCAGAAATAAGTGTTTGTCGTTGATGCTGATGACGTGAACATTCCAACAGAAAATGCTTGACTGACTCTATTTTTCTACAAGCGCAAAAACGACTAGTACTCAAATGTTTTTGAAAGAGTTCATAATTTATTAGAGAGAAATTGACTCTCATTTGATTTAGAATGCAGTTATATTTACGCTCACTGAGTGTAAAACGTGGCCACTTGTAATGTGGAAAAAAGAAATCGTCAATTTTTATTCGAAATGTTTTTAATTTTGTTATGTTTTGTAGTTCGACAGGCAACATATTCCATTGTCTCACAACCCAAGGAAAAAAAGTGTTTTTGAATTTTTTCTGTGCGAGTACGAAATACGTTTACTTGACCTCTCTCTCTTGAGCGTAAAGATGTTGTAACAATTGGTTGTTTAGGAATACGTGTAGAGAGAAAAGTGGATGTGAGACCATTTTTTATTTTG